AATTATTTTATATTCGATACGATAACAAACAGGCAGCCAATGTAATTCGCGAAGTAGAGGCGTGATGTGGCACGACTTCGGAGCACAATAAACCAAACGAGCACTAGCATTCATAACACGCTGCAGTTTAGACAACTGATATTTCGGTAACCCATACAGAAGGCTGTTACAATAATCAAGTCTACTTGTTATAAACGCATGAACTAGTGTTTCGGTGCTACTTCTGGATAAGTACTTCCTAATATGTCTGATATTATAAAGATAATAAAATGCACTGCTGCATGTTTTGGTAATATGTACATCCATATCCAAATGCGGGTCAAACCATGTGCCCAGATTACAGACTGATGAAGAAGGACTAATATTATAATCTCCGACTCTAACGCCATCGATAGACACCTTTGTGAGCTGCTTCCGTGTCCCAACAAGCATAAACTCAGTCTTGTCATCATTTAGCATTAATTTCCTCACACACATCCACTGTCTGATGTCACGAATACAATTTTCAATGGCAGTGACCGCATCCAACTCACCAGTGCCAACACTAGGACTAAAGGACAGATACAACTGAGTGTCATCCGCGTAAGCATGCGCAGTTGGTAAATGGGACTCCAGGAGAGAAAACAAATCACTTGAATAGATAGTAAACAAAAGCGGACCAAGGCAAGAACCTTGAGGTACACCCCACTTCAAATCAAATGACTGTGAAAGCGTCTCTTTTATGCAAATTCTTTGAGATCTCCCTTCCAAATAAGACTTGAACCACGAAAGAGCAGAGCCGCAAACACCTAGTTTCGTCTGAAGGGCTTTTAATAAAATCTTGTGGTCAACAGTATCAAAGGCGGCACTCAAGTCTAATAACACCAAGAGTGATACATGCCCCTTGTTCATATTTATGAGCAAATCGTTTTTTACTTTTAACAATGCAGTCTCAGTGCTGTGATGGGAACGATAAGCAGATTGAAGCTGAGGGAAGAGATTGTTCTTAATCATGTGACACTGAATTTGATTGGCTACCACACGTTCAGTAAGTTTGGACACAAACTGCAAGTTGCTAATTGGTCGAAAATTCTTGAAAAGTAGATCAAGGCCAGGCTTTTTCAATAATGGATGAACCACAGCAGTTTTATTTGGCTTGATGTTGCTGGTTTATTTTCCTTTTCTTGCCGTTATGGCTATGGAAATGATCAAAGGCAAAACAAATTCAGTTTAAGTCGCTTACGAATGGGCTTCACTGATCCTTTTCATCAACTCGTCAGTAAATCCGGTCATCTACTGTTGGAGAATGGAACAAATACGCAACGGCATTAAAAAGGTTTTAAGGCGATTAATTTCCTCAAGAATCACTTCATCTTGCCACATTCTGCCCAATGGTTCAGCGGGTTTCAAAAGATCTTAGAATTTTCGTGAAATTGAAAGGGTAATATACCTTTGTTTTTTCATTTAAATAAGTAAGAAATTTGAAATTTGTTACGTAGTGGAAAATTGCTAGTTGCATTTTGGAAATAGTTCGCTATCATAGAAAGAGTATGGATTTCGGCCTCTTTACAGCACTATTTCGTAATTTCTCTCTCGTATTTCATAACTGAACAAAAGATGTATGTTTAAATAAGTATATGATAAAAAATATGTGATCTTTTTGTTGATTAGATGTCTTTTTTAGATTAATTAATACCCATTTGAAAATTGCTTTCGGTTTCTTTGCAACCACTCTTATTTTGCTAACTTGTTTGCCTTTGAAGGAGCTCAGTTGGAGCTGACAAAAGACCGTTTTTGTTACTAATTTTTCTCTACCTTCATAACATCGATCATCGTTGATATCGTTGGTATATTTTCACATCTACAGGTGTAGGGAGTCAATGGAAAAGTTATTACATGCCTACAACAAAACTACGTGGTTTTCCTTTTTAGCCTAGAAGTCAATTCGGGTCACTAGAAGCGTAACAGAAAAAAAAAAAAAACCTTGTTTGTTTATAGAAAGATACCATTTAACGTGATTTTAAGAAGGGAGATCGACAGGATGCTAGAAATTATCGCCCTATCACCTCCCTTATAGCTGTCGACAAGATATTTGAACTCCTGTTGAGCAATCAGGTGACAAGCCATTATGATGAAACTTTGTACTACAGAATGACAGCTTACAGAAAAGACATAGTTGCGAAACAACCTTGCTTGTGCTGATTGAGGACTGGAAACAGGCTGTTGGTAGAAAGCACTGAACTGGATGATCAGTACTATCTACAGATATGAGTAAGGCCTTCGATTTTCTCAGCCACTCTCTGACGACAAAGAAACTAGAGGCTTATGGATTTGGAGGACGATCACTTAACTTTATGCGATCATTTTTTTTTTCGGACAGACTAAACCGAGTAAAAATGTGTGATGCTACTAACGACTGGATAAAGATGGAACGGAGATGTCCTCAAGGATCGTCTTTCAGTCCCTTACTATGGAACATCTGCTGACCAGAACGATATGTCAGTTCATGTCAAAGACGTAAATTTAACAACGTATGCTGATGACCATCAAATGTACGTCAAAGGAAGGGAACGTGAAATAGTACGATGCAGAATGAAAACACAGGGCCAGAAAGCACTGTCGTGGTATTCGAACAATTTTCTAATGGCCAATCCAGACAAGTTTCAGTTTCTAAACATCAATCCACGAAAACTCGATAAAGCGGTGAAGAGCGACGAAACGCTGAGTATAAACGATCTAGCTAATGCGAACAGAACCAATCAAACTACTAGGAGTTCATATAGATGAAAATCTCAAATTCACTGAGCATATTAGCAAATTATGTACCAAGGCAAGCCAGAAAGTTGGAGTACTCTCACGTCTTCGGAACTTAATAC